CCCAATGGTCAGGAAAATCGGAACCTGCTAGAACTTCATAAGGTGAAGCTGTTATGTTTTTTTTTGGGGTGCTGATCACGAATTTCATGTTAGTTTTGATCACATATGATATCTTCATGCAATTAGACCAGGTCGGGTCAGGTCAGGTCAGGTCAACCATTAGGCGTCCTGCCGGCTATCCATAGTAGGTGTCAACTACCTACACTGACGGCGTCGTAACATGTTACGAAGGCACTAAAACTACTTAGTAAATGTTCAAATGGATGCTTAATTCGAAATCAGCCCGAAAAACTACCCTAGAAACATGTACACCTCGGAAAATTGGCCCGATGTCATCAAAGTCAGTGACCTGACCTGACCTTCAGGTGACCTTGACACCCAACGTAATGCAAGGGACGAACATCATTTCACATGTTTGGACGTTTATAATCGCAAAAAGACTAGAAACGCGCGGATAATGAGAGCTGACATGCCCTGAATCGCGATTCTGGCCAAACATGGTCTCGAGAAATAGGTCAGGGGTCAAAGGTCATTTGGGTCAGGGTCATGAAATTTTTAGAGTTGGTGTAAAATTGATTAACTCGAGGGTACTGAAAGTTTCGTCGTGATCGGCCGATTTTTGCGTGAGTTATTCGCGAAAACCCATAGGGGGTCCATCCGACCCGCTACACATACGAGGGTTAATATGCTTTGAGCCACCAAAAAAAATCCGCCGATTTCACTATTTTTGCTCTTTTTCCACGTTTCTAGACGAATGGCATCATTTGAGGGGGCGCAAGCGCGAAAAAAACACAAATTAAAATTTTGTATGGAAATAAGGACCACCCTAATGAGCATATCGGTAATAGCGATTTCAGTGTGTGCATTTATTGTTCATAGTGGTGTGAAATGTGGTTGGGGTACGACCGACAACCCGTCGGGGCGAATTTCGCACTGGGGTACTCAAAATTTGAAGAATTTAAGACGTTTCCATGAGTTTTGAAGGTATGGATAAGTTCTAAAAATCCGGTTCTCCTTATCTGGGCCATTAACTCCATACGGTCCAAGAAAGCTGGCACACTACCTTTAACCTTCCAGGCGGTGGGGGGGCATTTTTTTGCCCCCCCCCCCCTTTAGTTTTTTCGATAAATCTCGAGAACCGCTGCGCCGATCGTCACCAAACTTTCAGTACCCTCCCGGGAGCAGCTAGCGCACATGGTGACCAAAAATTTTTCCAAAGGCTATGATAGGTTGGCCGCTTATGACGTCAGAGTGACGTCATTTTTGCCATTTTCGACCCAAAAAAAGGTTTCGCGGGAAGAGCTGTCAGGCCTACAAATTTAGAGATACAGAAAAATATTTCAGACATAAAAGGTGTGGAATTAAAAGGGCTACAAAACTGCTATTTCGGTTTTTCGATTTTTTTGGATTTTGACCCCCAAAAATCAAAAAATAGATTTTTTGAATATAATAGCCAAAAAATCCAAAAAGTTTTTTGAATTTCGTAAAAACCGGAATATATGTGATAGCCCCTACCGCCTTCTATCTACATACCAAATTTGAGATCGATAACTCTTTTTTTGGCCAAGTTATAGCGAAAAAACTGTTCAAAATTGATGACGTCAAATTTTCAAACTCAATTTTTAGCAATTCTAGACCTCGTAGCGCAAAACAAAGACCACCATTAGACTCCCCGTGACGAGCTGCATCGAATCGATACCCATTTTATGCAAAAATATCAACTTTGAAATTTGACCTTTTTTGACCTGACCTTGACCTGACCTCCACCAGAAAGTGACCTAAACCGTACTTGATGGTCTTATAACCAACACCATTGAGTTGGAAATGAAAAACTGGCCATAAAACATGCATCGCATAACCTTAGTAAAGTTGGGCTCATGTGGTGACCCTTGGTGACCTTTGGTGACCTGACCTGTGACCTGACCTGGTATGACCAGTGACCTCTAATAGCAGCATATGTACTAGTAGGGTGACCGGTTTTGCAAAAAGTTTCGAAAAGTTTTGCTCCCCAGGTCTAATCTAACGTATTTGGGGGTGCTGATCACGAATCCGGCGGAAAAAATATAAAATTCGAATTTTTTTTGACCGCCCCGGCTCTTTGAATATTTCCGGTTTTCTCAATTTTTGCATGTTTTTGAATAATATGATGAATGTAATGAAAAAATATTAACAATGTATCGCTAAATGCATGTACCAGTCGATTCGGCATACAGCGGCGTCGAAATCGGCAGGCGGCCTGCTTCACCGGCCTCGCAGGAAAGCATAAGGCTCGGAAGGTTTGCGTTAGTTACCCGATTCTCTCCATAGATGGCGCTGGCGTAGCCGCCCGCCGGCCGGTCGTTGCCGTGCCGTTCACAGCCCCGGCGGTCACTTGCGACCGTCGTGGTCGTTATGCTACGTCTATCAAAGCACGACAGAAATGTTCACTTCATTTTTGTGTTACTTCAGACATATTTTAGACCTAATGTTGAATTGGATAAATGACTATCGTGAATTGGCGAAATAGTGGAGTGCGCTCGGGAGCCATTTACAATAGCGAGGAACGTAGGTGGATTGATCTGAGTAACATATGACACTGCGTTCACTGTTGATATGAAGTTTATTCACACTATGTAGCATGTAGTCGGGTGACATGAGAACAAAGTGACTAACATACCTTGTGTACGACACATGGATGAAGCTAATGCTACTTTTTCATTTTGTTTCGGTAGGCCCGTTTATTCAGAGCGTAGCCGTCCTGTCGGTCTGCGCCTGTTACAGCTGTGACTGATTCGGTGGTCAGCTTTACAGCCCTTTCGGTGGATTGGGTATGGCAGGGGACCCCCGGGGGACCCCCGGGGAGTCTGTAGAAAGTCGCGCAACTCATCCTCGCTCATGTGTCGTACACAAGGGGGCTCAATGTCTCGGCCCTCGTCAACCGCTCGCTGCACGTTAACCAGTTCCATATAGTTGTTCGCTTGAACGTTAATTTCCGGCAGCCGGAAGTGCCGAATGGGCTGCTGCTGTGGCGGTGGGGGTGGCAGCTTTGGCGGCGGTCGTGGTGGCGGTGCCGGCGGTGGTGGTGGTGGTGGTGGTGGTGATGGCCGCCGCCGTTGCAGACGCCGCTGCTGCTGTTGTGGCGGCGGCGGCGGCGGCGGCGGCGGTGGTGGTGGTGGCGATGGCCGCCGCCTCTGTCGCCGCTGCTTCTGCTGTGGCGGGGGCATGGCATTAGGGCAGATGCAGTCCGCATAATCCAGAGCATTCGTCAAAAAAGGCAGCGACAGGAGCAGCCGCCGTTCCCGCCCCCGCCACAGCAGAAGCGCAGCGGCGACAGAGGCGGCGGCCATCGCCACCACCACCACCGCCACCGCCGCCGCCGCCGCCGCCACAACAGCAGCAGCGGCGTCTGCAACGGCGGCGGCCATCACCACCACCACCACCACCACCACCGCCGGCACCGCCACCACGACCGCCGCCAAAGCTGCCACCCCCACCGCCACAGCAGCAGCCCATTCGGCACTTCCGGCTGCCGGAAATTAACGTTCAAGCGAACAACTATATGGAACTGGTTAACGTGCAGCGAGCGGTTGACGAGGGCCGAGACATTGAGCCCCCTTGTGTACGACACATGAGCGAGGATGAGTTGCGCGACTTTCTACAGACTCCAAAACGGGGGTCCCCTGCCATACCCAATCCACCGAGAGGGCTGTAAAGCTGACCACCGAATCAATCACAGCTGTAACAGGCGCAGACCGACAGGACGGCTAGGCTCTGAACAAACGGGCCTACCGAAACAAAATGAAAAAGTAGCATTAGCTTCATCCATGTGTCGTACACAAGGTATGTTAGTCACTTTGTTCTCATGTCACCCGACTTCATGCTACATAGTGTGAATAAACTTCATATCAACAGTGAACGCAGTGTCATATGTTACTCAGATCAATCCACCTACGTTCCTCGCTATTGTAAATGGCTCCCGAGCGCACTCCACTATTTCGCCAATTCACGATAGTCATTTATCCAATTCAACATTAGGTCTAAAATATGTCTGAAGTAACATAAAAATGAAGTGAACATTTCTGTCGTGCTTTGATAGACGTAGCATAACGACCACGACGGTCGCAAGTGACCGCCGGGGCTGTAAACGGCACGGCAACGACCGGCCGGCGGGCGGCTACGCCAGCGCCATCTATGGAGAGAATCGGGTAACTAACGCAAACCTTCCGAGCCTTATGCTTTCCTGCGAGGCCGGTGAAGCAGGCCGCCTGCCGATTTCGACGCCGCTGTATGCCGAATCGACTGGTACATGCATTTAGCGATACATTGTTAATATTTTTTCATTACATTCATCATATTATTCAAAAACATGCAAAAATTGAGAAAACCGGAAATATTCAAAGAGCCGGGGCGGTAAAAAAAAAAATCGAATTTTATATTTTTCCGCCGGATTCGTGATCAGCACCCCCAAATACGTTAGTTTAGACCTGGGGAGCAAAACTTTTCGAAACTTTTTGCAAAACCGGTCACCCTAATGTACTAGACAACTGACGCCTTATCGCTGATTTTCGACAAAATGAGTTTTACTCGGTGTTATAGCGCTTTCCCTAGAAGCCCCGTGAACGGTGAAACATTTTATCTTTGACCTGACCTGTGACGTCATCGGTGACCCCGAGGTCAATGAAATTTGGTTTTCCTCGACAAATTTGACAGGGCTATCGAACGCCGTTTGAATTTTCCGGATCCGTCCAGTAGTTTCGGAGATACGGGGGGGGGGGCAAAAAAGTGCCCCCCCCCCCCCCCACCGCGCGGAAGGTGGCTGGTAGGCCCACCGCCTGCCGGGTTAACATAGACTTAGCTGGCTCACAGTTCATCCGTTTGGCTCTCAAGTCTCAGCTCACCAGGCTGGCTTGCATAGCTCACCTGGTTGACTCAGGGCTCATATGGTTGGCTCACAGCTCACTCGACTGACTCACAGTTCACCTGGTTGACACTGGACAGCTGCCTCAAAGTCGTTCACTCACCGTCAGAGCGAAGAGCGGCCGATGAAGCTCCATATCCTGTGCACTGTGCAGGCGAGAGACGAGCAGAGAGGACGAGCGCGCGCGCGTCTGCAGAGCGAACCGTGCGGCGTGCGGCGGCACTGAACGCGCTCTGGTGCGGCTCTGTGTCGAGGCCGGTCCCACCGGGCGGCCGCCGCTCACTGCTCGGCACTGGACCCTGAGCCGCCCGGCCCGTCCCCGCCGCCGCCCGAGCCGCCCACCGCGGCCTCGTGAGAGCCGGATCACCCTCCGCCGGCCCGTGAACGCGCCGCCAGAACCGGCCGCCGGCAAACGCCCCGCCACACAGCCGAGAGCTTTTTCATTTGTCGAAATTATCGGCACTGGAGTGCGCTCGTATGCTACGACCATTCCGACCAGGCTCGGTTTGGCTTCTCGCTGAATGGCAAACAGGATTATTGACATCACAGTGGCATTCAAGTCGATGATGAGCATGATATGAGATACAGGGCGCTTCCAGAAATTCATATAGAAGTTGGGCTCGAAAAACGTCAGCTCCTCCGGGCCCTAATCAGGATGGCTGAATGCCGACAATATTCTCTTATGATCAGCAGCGCCGGAATGCCCTGGCAGCGCTTCGTCATTTTCAATATGCGGCCGGAATGTGTGCCCGCTGCCGCATTTGGACAGTGTAATAAGGCAACTTCTATGAACGCGTTGACCAATGACGCCCGGTATGAGCCTAACGAAATATGCCGACGGAACCGGATGTCATGAAACTTAAGGTAATAGGAGACGCATTGTGAGCCTCAGCTCTCGTCTTCCTGATTACGTAGAAAATCGGTTTTAAAGCCGCTATCACGGTGAAACGGATTGGTTCTACGGTAGTTTATGTAACGACTTTGTATTCATGCTTTTCAAGACAATTGCCGGCTACAGCCAGTAAGCTGAGCATCCTAACTCTCGACGGTCGACGGCACTGCCTGACACCTCATGTAGGCATAATGATGAATAACGATTCAATCACCAGCTATGGCCTCCAGGTAACCTCAGAGGGACGTTGCACCGCGTCGGGGCGAAAGTGCGGAGGACGATCGTCACTTTCTCTGTGTACAGAACATCCACAACATTGTGGTTGGATTATACGACGACAGAGCTTGCATCATGTTCGGCTGTTGGTCGAAACCGGCTTCTCTGCCCATGCAAGGCGTGTCGCACCGCACTGAGTCGCAGTGGGACCTTCCCGCCGATGGAAAACGAGGTGTTTCGGCCGATCCAGGAGAAGTTTATTGGAACTATCACGCTTAAGAACTTCGTGTCTATGCATTGCTAATGGTCACTAAACTTCGATACAAATGATTTGATACCGCAGTTTTATAAGACCTGTTCGAGTCCCCGGTATCGGACGGTGTCGGTGACGTTTTGTGACTGGCGTTGTCGGGTGAGGCGTTATTTAGGCTGTAGTGTTCGACTGCCGGTCTGTGAGTGCCCGACTGCTGGTCGGCCGCAGACACACAGTCGCCGCTGTCGGGTGAGGTGTCGGTCTGCAGTGTCCCGCTGTGCTGTCGGACCGGCCAGTGTCGCGCCACTGCTGGATCGCCGTTATCGGGTGAGGTGTTGGTCTGCGGTGTTGGACTCGGCAGGTCGGCCGCTGACACACAGTCGCAGTCTCCGGCTACTGGCCCGGCGCCGTGCACGACACAGCACGGTAGCACCAGATAACGACTCCATCACAGCAACACGTGGGCACCACTAACTCAGATCAGGGGTCAGTCAGTAATACGATTTTAGTGTGTGTTGTACCCTCAGGGTGAATTATTCCAGATGCGTAATTCGATGCATAATTCGATGTATGTTAGCGGTGTGTCCCGCAGAGTCAGTGGATAGAAGCGTTGGCGGGGCCCGTCTACGAATGCTGTCTCCAATCTATATCAAAGGCAAGCTTATTTTCCTCATACTTTGTATTCTATCTCCCTTCTCCAATCACATATCTACTATGTTGTACATGCAGGGAACACATCTCAAGACAAAAATACGCATCCGAAACAAACACGAACATCATTACGGTTCCGCACGTCTCTACCACGAGCAGAGAATAGACGCGCTGCCTTATAAACTGATGTGAAGACATCACACCGGACTGCGCAGGAGCGGACAAATGCATGCACACAGCACTGACTGCCGTGTTCGCCGGCCCGGCCGCAGTGAACAAACCGTCCAAGGCTCAGGACCACGACCCACGGTCACCGTCGGCGGCAGGCGGCAGCCGCCCTCATATCGCCTTGCCATTCCCATTTGTGGTTCCACTGACACCCGGGTGCTCCGGACTGTGCTTCTGTTTCTTCTTCTTTTTCTCTTTCTTCTTCTTTTTTCCGCTCCTTTTCGTCCTCGTTGCGTTTCTTTTTGTGTTTCTTTTCGGGCGGTTCTCCGGCGTCGGTGCCCTCCTGGGACGATGTGTCGCCAGCTCGGTGTTTGTGCTTCTTGTGCTTGTGTTTGCGCTTCATCGGCGCCTGGCTGGTGAACCGGTACTGCTCGGGCAGCTGCGGCAGAGAGCGGGGACGGCGTGTCACCGGGGAACGGTGGCCACTGCGGCCGGAAAGGACTGCGGGCAGTGACTGTCAAGTGTCAGCACAGCACGCTCGACAGAGCAGCTGCTGTGGCCGCGGTGCTCCTCAGACTGGAAAATGGACGGCCGCGCCTGGGCGCACCAGCTGTCCGCTCGATGTGTGCCACCTCTGCCCCGCACATTATGTGACCCTCCAGTCCCTGGTTACTGAGATGAACCCGATACTGAACGAGTGAGCGGGCATCTGTGTCTGATACTGGTCGATGTAAAGAACTGTACCTACTCTAGCCCTTATGATTTTGTTTGTTTATTTAGGCTTTGGGATGCGCCGACTGCTATGCTAGCCACTTGCAATTTTGTATACGCATCTTATATTTACGCGCGTGAATATGGGTCGGGGGCCACTCATAGGACTGATGTAAGTGGAACGATCACCCGGCCATACCTTGTCCAGCCCCGTTTCGTCAATGAGCATGATAATATGTAGTATATAATCAGTAAAACGTCTTTTGGGCGAAGAACGAGCGAGCGAGATAGTGAGCCCTGCACGTGCGGAAGGGCGAGAGGGTACTTACAACGGGCTTGTGCAAAGCACCCTTCTAACCAGTCACATAGCGGTGTGCCAAATTTGAACGCAATCGACCCAGCCGTTCCTGAGATCTGGAAGCGGCATTCCGCACGTGCACACGTGCAAACGGGGTCCAAACTGACTTTTGCACGGCACCCTACCAACCGGTCACCAACCGTGTACCAAATTTGAGCGCAATCGGCCCAGCCGTTCTCGAGATCTGGAAGCGCCCCCTGCACGTGCGCACGTGCAGTAGCACCTTAACCGCAACACATGGGAAGGCATTGCCTGATGGGAGCCTACCTGTATGCATAGGCGGCGGAACGGGGAGGGCACCGGGGCACAGTGTCCCCTTTGATTTTGGCATTATTAGCCCTATGGGCGTTGCATGGAAAGAATGGGACCAAAAGTCGGCAGTGCCCCCCCCCCCCCCCCGTAATTGAAGGTGTTTCGCCGCTACTGCCTGTATGCCAAGTTTCAGCGAAATCGCCCCAGTAATTACCGAGTTATTGAAATGGGAACAAAGTTGGCACCTATTCTTTTTACATTTTGCACGTGCAGTGGGAGTCACTCACATAGATCAAGAGTATCCGACCTTTGGTAGAAGAGATGCAGCTACCCTACAAAAATTACCGCAAGACAACCGCCCAAGCGGCTGCTGAGATATGAGCCTCTCAAAATCACTACTTTTGCAAAACAGCTTGAACACCCTTGACTTTTCACGTGGCACGTGCCACGACGGTCACTGAGATGTATCAAAAGTAGTCAATTACGGGGTAGAAGGGATGGGGCTACCCAGCAAAAAAGACCGCAGGCCAATCGGTCCAGCGGTTGTTGAGATATAAGCCTCTCTAAAGCGCTACAGGCCGGGCCGGGCCGGGCCGCCCATACCCTGGCCCATACTGAGATTTTTCCGTTATATATTGAAAAGACTTCGCTGCGCTCGCTCGTAATCAACTAATGGAAACGAAAGAAAGAAAGAATGAATATAGCCAGCAATGGACATTGAAAAGCATTCTAACAACTAAGGTCTAAGTCATACGTAATTTTCTTAGGTGGAACTTGGTAAAACATGAGCCTCGAACATTTCAAAGAAGTGGCACGATAAAAATGTAAATAAAGCAAAAATGTTCCAGAAAAAGTGCCATGAAATATACGTTTCACACTACGCATTTCCGTTGAACATGTAAACAAAGGACAATTTCTGCACATTATGGGTGCTTTGGAGCGCAATAAGGCACTAATGTTATCGGAAACCACCAGCGCCATTGATGGTAAGCGGTCAAGCGATACGGTCTTTCAATTGCTGCTCTTGGTTGACGGCGGCAGTAGCTTCCGCCGTTTAGCGCAATCGGCATCGATCAGAAAAATGACCTAAGGTCAACGACAAGCTGTACATACAGCTACCCTACAAAGACCAGAGGGCATTGAACACCCGAGGGCGGATCGCTGTGCTATTTATGCTGTAAATTTAGAATCGCAGCCGACCCGGCAGCTGCTCTTCTCCGTCCCTTTGAAAACACACAAATGAGAATGACTCCCTGGTTACCAAGCATTCTCAGCGCACAGCTTCAGTTTAACAGCCAGTAGGATACGCATAACTCTTGACCAACCAGCTGAACTTAAGAAAACGTCCTCTCCATACTAGTCCTTACGAATCCTGGCATAATTCGCAGACACCCTCCCCCACACGGGACGATGCTCGTGGATGACCGATCGGTTCTCTCACACCTGTGCCGGGACAGTAGGAGGGTAACTGGGGACCTGTCCTTGAGGCCCTGGCACAAGGTGTGCCATCGTCGACCCATCTGGGTCACTGGGCGGCCCGCGCGCCGGTCGAGCCGTGGGCAGGGGCCGATTAGCGCGTCCAGAGCCGTGGGCGGGCGGCGGACGGTGCGGCCCGCTAACCGGAGCCGACAGGAGCGCCGAGCGCCGGGCCGGGATGGCCACTCGGCCGGTCAACAGCGGGGCGCCCACTCAGCCTGTCGGCGCCCATTAGCGGCGCCCGACAGAGGAGCAGCCGGCGCCCGGCGACTGTGAGCGCAGGACGCACCCCTCTCCGCCCCTCCCCGGTCGAGCAGTGCGCACTGCGCAGCAGCCGGGAGACCTGACACGGCAGCTCAGCGACAACCGATGGCTCACATCTGATCCCAGATCGGCCAGCCATTCCCGTAAGAGCTTTGTGTCATATTTATAGAATTCGATTA